GTTATAATCTGCATTTATTGCCAGGCATGAAACCTGTAACTTCAAGCTCCCTAAGATATATTTGGTGATTATATGTGATTCTCAGGATATGATGCTGAAGCGAACATCAAAATCAGTCTCGCTGGGCATGCCAATTTCTTCCCTGGCATGCCGGGAATGCCAAACCAACTGGCTTCACCATCGGCATGCCCGGCATGCCAAACCAGAGGAGCTAAAACTAGGAATGAATTATTAACCCGGCGAGAGATCTGGGACCTAAGTTTAGCTGGGTCGATTTTGGGCTGCGAGGGCATGAACCCATTTTTTCCATGCCTATGAGATGTTATTTCTAAGTACCAATGTTCCCTTGAATTTTGTCATGCTTAAATATATAAAATTTTCCCTCTCTCATTAATCCTCAAACTGGATGCGATTTTTACGCGCGGTAGGCATGTTCAACTGAAAATCATGCCCATACCCTTATTCAAAACAAAATGCTATCAAATTTTAGTTTCCAAGCCGTTTACCCTCTCAAGTACGCCAAACCACTTTCGTGTGGTGCGTTCGAAGGCCTTTTTCAGCGCCTTTTTTATTTTTCTGTTTATGTGTCTTAAGTAATGTTTGTCTAAGTCCTTTGATAATTTATTTTATTTCTACTAGTAGTTTGAACACTTTAATCACCAAAACACTGCATTCACATTCACACTTCGGCCAAAAGACAGCTGTCATGGTCCGCCGTTGCCAGCGCAATTTTCTGACTTTTTCCCTTTGTCCCGTAGACGCCTTTAAAACCTAGTTTTGATGTTAAATTCCAGTCCTTAAACGTAAGAGGATTGAATAAGTCAATCAAACGTCGATCAATCTTCCGTTGGTTACATAATCAAAAATTCCATTTCACATTCTTACAAGAAACCTACAGCTCTAAAGAATGTGCCCAAATTTGGGAAGCTGAATGGGGTGGGAAGGTTTATTTTAGTCACGGCAGTTCACACAGCAAAGGCGTCATGACTCTCGTTAATCCGAACTTAGATGTCAAGGTCGAAAAATGCATCCAAGACACGAATGGCAGGTTTCTTATACTTGACCTATTAATTGATGAGTTGCATCTAATTCTAGTGAATATTTATGCCCCGAATGACGCGAATCAGCAAGTCACGTTTTTTAA